GAGCCTATTTATGAATTCGATTAAAAATTTTATTAAATAGATAATCTTCTCTAATATGTTGCAAGTTGTATGTTTCACTTCAATATTTCTAAAATTATTCAGTATATGTATATACAGAGCAATATTGGGATTACTCTAGGCTACGTAACGACAATATAATGTAGCTACATACATAATATGTTAAGTACATATAAATTGTTAAGTACCTGTGAAATTTAACAATTAATTTTTATAACTTTGTCATATCCTAGTTTTAATGTTTTCTATGCACTAAGCTACCACATTTTATTAGATTATCTGTAAATATTAGAGGAGGTTCATTCTACTATTTATAAGTTAGCCAGAAAGTTTAATTGATTTTTTTATGCAATTTTAAATGGCAAACAAGCTGACGGCCCACCTGATGGAAAGTAGTAACTGTTGCCTATAGACATGAATAGTACAGTGGACATAACAGTCACGCATGAAGGGCATGCGTTACCATTCCAGAGGAGTTATGTCTTTGTACCCTGTAATTTCATTGCCATATCCCACCCTTCAAACTGAAACACAGTCATGCAAACACAACTGCTCCACGGCAGAAATGCGAATGAGACAAAGGTAGCCAAAAAGACTTTTGTATAAAGTCTCCCTCTGATTAGTCACAGTTCACTTTAGAGTTAATAATCCAAAATAAGTGCAGATATGTTTTGTTGCTTCTTTTTTAAAATAGGCGCTCAACTTTATATCTAAACCAGCTGTATCTCATGAGTTTGTATCATGATAATATTGTATTATGTCTAATGTTTGTTATATATGTTATAATGCAATATGCTTCTGGTGTTCCTATGAATAAATAAATAAATATCTTATTTACTAAGTAACAGTAGGTCTAATATATAACCTTTTTTTATATACAACTTAGAATGGCAAACAAGCTGACGGCCCACCTGATGTAATGTGGTAACCGTCGCCTATAGACATGAGCAGTACCATGGACATAACAGAGTATACTGTTTCGCCCATAATACCCCCCATGCGTTGCCATTGCTGAGGACTCAGGTGTTATTCCTCTGTACCCTGTAAATTCACGCCATATCCCACCCTTCAAACCGAAACACAGCCATGCAAACACAACTGCTTCACGGTTGAAACACGAATGCGACAGAGGTACCCAAGCAATCGACTTTTGTACAAAGTCTCCCTCTGGTATTTTTACAATTGAGAGCGGCAAAGTAAGAACATTTCATTAATCCAATAGAAAATGCTAAACGTCGCCTAAAACAAATAGCAGGGAGGACATTACAGAATATATTGTAAAAACCATATTACTTTGAAGATAATATAATATGGGTGGTTATTGTCTTCGCTGTTCTTGAGAACTAAGATGTTATGCTAAAAAAAAAAGGCTTAAAAATTATATTGTTAATGGAGTCATCCTTTTTGATTTTATTATTATATTAATATAATTTTAGTATTTTAATAAATCTAAAATTTGAGGCGTTATTTTTTAAAGATGCCATAGATTTTCCAGTCGTTGATTCCATTTAGGAGATTTTCAAAACAGTTACCATTGTTGATCGATAATTTGTTGAGTTTTTAAGCACCCAAGTGAACATATAAAACGTTATAATATTAGTTTTTTTTTATTTAAACAATACAATATTCAACAGTTTTTAATTCTATATAGCATTCTCTCCTCAACTAAACATTGAAAAAAATTAATATTATTAAAAACTGTTGAATAGTGTGTTTATATGTTTTTCGTAAAAAACCTTGTCAACAATATATGGCGTGAATTAAAATACAATTTACAGGATACAGAATCAGGAATGATAACACTATAATTTGCATAACATCTGAGTTCTAAGAACAGGAAGACAATAACCACCATATTATCTTCAAAGTAATATTAGCGTTACAGTATATTCTGTAATGTCCATGGTACTGCTATTTGTTATAGGCGACGTTTAGCATTTTCTATCAGGTGGATCGTGAAATGTTCTGTTTGCCATTCATTTGTAAAAATAAAAAAAAACAGAAATATGGTCGTCTAATAGAGTATTAAATGTAAAAAGATTAAGTTTAATTGATGCTTTATTTGATTACGACGTAAAACAATAATTTTACAATACAAAAATAAGAACCCATTTTGTATGTGAGATCTTATTCACTCGGTCATTTTTGTCGGGCATCTAATTGGAGTTTTTCATCAAGTAAACACCAAAACGATGATATCATCAGAGTTTTAGTTGCAAATCCAGTTGAGATCACCGCGGGCATTATGGATTTTTTTCTTTATCTGCTTTGTACGATATGCTGCTTTGTTTGATTATAATTCAGTTTTATTGCTTGAGAGATTTATATGCTTCTACTAAACTAGCTGTAATATTTAGGTTTCTTCACGTGTTTTTACGCGACTTGCCTACCTATTAAAAAGTTTTTATTTTTTATTATGTAATTGCAAACGATAGCATGAATTATCCCAAATTAATATTAGAAATTAATATCAATATAAGAACGTTATGATATGATAAGTGTATTGATTTACAAAAATAATTGAACTCGATTTGAATTCTTCTTTTTCGATGTTACATAACGATACTAATTCTAGCAAAAAATCTTTATCAAACATACACATATACACACATGCGTATACACACACACACATACACACATGCACGCATACACTCTCATACACCTACACGCACACACACAAAATAAAAGAGAGAGCCACACAAATGTACACTCATACAAACACACATTCTGTACAAATAAATGCGAAACTTAAAGGTTAAATTAAAAATAATTATAAATCACTCAATTTGTAATCAAAACAAGTTTTGTGAACAAATCAGTTTATTATTCATTACAATTTAACAATTATAATTTGGAATGGCTCCAGTGGAAATTAAATTAAATGCTGACATTGATTAATCAATATTGGAGTACAATTTATTAATTTAAATCAATGTTGTTTTTATTACAAAATATTTAATTATAATCAGTGATATACATTATCAGTATATATTATATTTATAATATAATAAATTTTTTTTATTCTATAATTTATGTTTTAACTTTTATAATGGCAATTATATTTAAATGTGTTATGACACATTTGTTGTTATTATTTTTTTCGAAGAGCAATTATTATTTTTAAATCTGCACTTTGGTCCTAAATTTCTAATCGCTGACTCGATCTAAAAATACTTTGGGGTATTGGCAATTTAATATTATATTATTCTTATTATAATTAATGTTCTGAAACATGTACATATATATACATTCAAAACTATAACAATATCTGATATATTAAACAATTAAATCTAAAATAAAGTCTATTCACTCATCACAAGAGAATTAAGTAATAACAATTTATTGATTAACTTAAATAACATTAATATAATTATAAATTAATAAAATTACAATGCACAGCCAAAGCCGGCCGACTTTATACTGTTTGGCGCTTTTGTGCAAGTTTTCCCTGGCGTTCTCGCTAACGTCAAAGAAAAAAATAAGGTTACTACGCCATATTTAGAAGTTGCTAGGCAAATTATATTATCGTTCAGCAGCTGTTCCATTCCTTACAATGAAAAAACAGGTCATTGGATATCTGCTGTTTACTTCAACGTCGATTTTGATGCGACTTTTTTACTGACCTTACCTAAGTGTTCCCTTTGGATCTGGGCATTCCCAGGCGTTGCCTGTCCGCCCCTCTCCCTACACAACTGACAATGTAAATGGTGATGAAGTAAAAACGTGCCACCACTTTTGTACATTTAGGATGATTAATTTTTTGTATCAATTTATGGATTATTAACTGTCGGTTAATTTCATGTAAATTCGTTAAAATGGACAACCGTCTTGACTTCAACTTTACCTAGCATCTTTCAATGGTACCTCGCCAGTATACATATATCAATAGCGGAGATATTTTAAATCTCGGTCTTACTACGAAACAATTTAAAACAACTTATCTAAATACTATTTTACAGTTTATGTGCTAAATCCTATAATTTATTATAATAAAATTTCTTACTCTAAACATCTTTAGTTTTACCACGACAGACTTTTTTGTTTAGACATGAATGGATGTTACGCGCCCCTTTGTGGTAAGAGTAACGTAAGAACAGTTAATATTAAAAACATAAATACATACATCAGTGCAACAGAACGAAAATTCGAAATTCAAATTTTACATCTATCAAGCCACTTGGCCATGACGTGGTTATTAGTAAGCATGGATTATTAGGATAGTATTACATTATCTGTGGCATGGGTATTATAATATGCAATATTTCCTTAATAGGAAAGCAGATCTGTGTCCAGCAGTGAGATGTTGTAGTCTGTTATAATGACGGTAGTCACAAATTAAAATACTTACGCCTTACTTGAGATGGTAACTTGTTAAGAATGACAAGGTCGTGCGAACAATTTACTGTCAAATGTTATATATTTATTATTATTATTATATAAGGTAAATGTTGTTTAAATATATGCAATGATACCATCACATGACAGTATTATTGGTTTTATTTTATGACAATTACAAACTTTTTGGAGTAAATTTTAACTTAATTATAGAATAGATTACATACATAGATATACATATATTTGTCACGCCTGTCTCTCATTTGGGGTAGGCAGAATAGATTTAAAATAAAATTTTATATTTTTTGCGTTTTTAATAGTTGAAAAACTAAAATTTACTGCTAATTAACTTGAACATTAGTTAAAACTAATATTAGAAAAACTTCTTTGAGGCATTGACTAAGAACAAAATAAATTGTCTTTCAAAATATTTGTAGTTTTACCTAAATCACTTTGATAACATACGTTTAGTCTAGTTAGAGCTATTTTTAACTGATATTTATTTTTGTAAACACTAGTTACAACAAAGTAATATTTAGTTAAATCCAGTTTTAACTAAATAAAACTGTAATTGAAAATGCATTTTAACTTTAACGTATATAATATTTGTTGAATTTGACAAAAAAATGTAATGTTAAAATTATTAAAAAAAAGTACCTTCGTCTTCACAATCCTTAATTCTTAAAGCAGTTTATTTACACCATAAGGCAATTTGTAATAACAATTTAATTGAAAATAATTATACAGATATATTATAATTAATATTGCATTATATGCATGATAGAATATCATCTATCATAGAACAATTAGGTGACATTTTATAAATTTTGTAAGTAATAAATATTCATCTAAATTGTAATTTAATATGCACATGTAATTTAATGGCAAGATTAATTATGAAAAATAAATTATTTACAAAAAAATGGCTGATTATTGAATTAGGTTATTGGCGATAATTATTCTTAATATGCTTTATTATTTTTTGTACAAATATAAATTTAGTACATCCTTAGAGAAATATTTTTTATTTGTAATTTATTAATACGATTTTTAATTGAATCACTACGGTAATAGACTGACTACTTAAATAGATTACATATCACTAAATTTCACTTCACGATACACGCCCAAAGCACAACATAACAAAAACAGTGTCCTGAATGTCCAAGGAAACACTAAAACAATTATAAGAATGGATTATATCCAAACTCATTTTATCATTCTCATCTGTGCCGCCTTATTTTTTTCACCATAGTGAAATTATTTTTATGAGCAACTCGTTCTCCAAAACAATTCCAATCTTACGACTAAGGCACAGTTTCATTCTTATTCTCCTTTCCCTTACCTCTTCTCCTCGTTAACTTTGCGTATATTTCTTCAACAGTCCTTTGTTTTGTTTCAGGGAATGCGATCATAGAGTAGAAACACGAACAGAAGCAGACAACTGCGAAGAAGAGGAAGGTCCAGTGGACACCGATGAGTTCGCAGAGGTTCGTGAACCACTTCATCTGAATGAAGTTACTGAGTTTGGCGCAGATGTTTGTGAACGAGGAAACGGTGCCGCGGAGCTGGGATTTAATAAACAAATTAATTAATGTCATAAAAATTAAATACCAGGTGTTTTAGTTAGGACAAAGTATTGTGGGTGTGACAAAGTAAAGTGTGTTATATATAACTGTGATTCGTTAGCGAGCATGCGCATGAGTCTACTGGGAACGGCTTATTCAGAGCCAGGGGACTACAGATATCTTAAACCGCGGGATATCGTTAAGGTAACACATAGGATCTATGAAATGATGGTATAGGGCAGGGGGAAGCACAAAAGATCCTGATGGGTTGACGTGCAACGGCTTAGCTGACCCCATATGTGAATATAAGATAAGATAAAGTGTGTTATATAAACTAGAGAATAAATATTTTTAATTGTGGTCAATAAAGAATAAATAAATTATAGTGATATTAGCATTATTTTAAAATATTTAAATTACTCACCTGAAATGTGAATAAATCAGTGATAATAATGTACGATATAGGCTGGAAGCCGGCGGCATCAGCGAAGATGGCCAGCCCCATAGCAAACACTGGGAGCCAACCGGGCATCCAGACCCCCACGGAGATGAGGTAGAACCAGGCCGCGAGGATCAGCATACCGACTCCTACTGCAAACGATGTGGTCACCAGGAGTAACTGGAATGAAAGGAGGTGTATATTTATTACTTTCGTCAAAAAAAAAACAATAGATAATACTTAATTCCTAACTAATATTATAAATGTAAAAGTAAGTTTGTTTGTTTAATTATCGTAACTAAGTGTTGTGAAATTTGATATACACATAATATTAGTGACGGACATAAATACAGGCTACTATTTATCTCGGTAAATTAACATGATCTGCTCATGCAGACAGTCGCAAGTAAAAGTTAGTAATCATAGTAGTGCCATACAATCTACCAATACCAATCGCTTGGTCCTCGATCTAAGACACCCAGTATTATGAGCAACGCACATATGGTGCATAACCCAGAATACTCAAACACGAGCCAATTCAGAATAAGTAGTTTTCCTAAATTGGCATGACTGGTAATCGAGTTTTGGAGCTTATTTATGCTAAGTAATATTTAAAAAAAAAATCCTTTGCTATATAGCAAATAGCCGACACATACATATGTGTGGGCCAATATTAGTTGTTGCTGAGATATAGTACTGTGACAGACAAACGGGCGGATAAAGTCGTGCCGTAAGGTTTTTGCGCTATTTAGATACATAATCCTAAAATGTGCATACTACTATATGCATAAAACACTATGCCAAAACAATTTTACAGATTATTTTTTTAGCTTTGCTTAAAAAGTGTATGTATTGGAAACTAACTTTTTACCCATTACTTCGTATGCGTGGATTTTCGAAGTAGGTAAACCAGTAGAATAGACCACTTTTAAAAGGTTTATCAAGATAAAATATAACCAGGTTTTAAGTTGTATCTTTAGGAGCATTACAGTAAAAAACCGCACTCAATTTGGCGCAGCAATCTTCCTTATCTGTGACGGTATCGTGTAATCAGACTCGTGCTCGTGTTACAGCCGCGTAAGATTAAGGGTTTTTTTTATACAACTTAGAATGGCAAACAAGCTGACGGCCCACCTGATGGAAAGTGGTAACCGTCGCCTATAGACATGAGCTGTACCATGGACATAACAGAGTATACTGTTTCGCCCATGATACCCCACATGCGTTGTCATTCCTGAGGACTTAGGTGTTATTCCTCTGTACCCTGTAAATTCACGCCATATCCCACCCTTCAAACCGAAACACAGCCATGCAAACGCAACTGCTTCACGGTAGAAACACGAATGAGACAGAGGTACCTCTGGTCTCCCTCTGGTCCAGAATAATCCCGAAGCTAGTCGAGCTTTGTCAACCAAATTACATGTAAGTTAAACCGGTAACTATTAGATTAAAATATATACTAGGATTACATTAGTAAGATTACCTTTCTTCCAGTCTTCTCAACAATACAAGTGGCCACTGTCGACCCTATAAGTTGTATGACTCCAATCATAATGATTTGTTTATTGGGGCTGAGGTGCAAGTTGATAGATTCTGATGCTTTGCCGAATACGAGACCGGCGTATATAAGCACTATGAGGTACCCGTCGAACTGCTGCGCTATCTTGATGACTAATGTAATGATGAACGCTTTGAATGTTGCCTTGTCATTATCTGAAATCAAAAGCATTATTGGTTTCTTCAAGTTATTGTATCAAATAATCTTTGCAGACATAAATAATTTGTTTATAATAATAATAAACTCTTTATTGCGCAAAATGGAGATTTATACAAGGAGTATTTGTACAGAATGTGCATATACAAAAGGCGGCATTATCGCTAAAAGCAATCTCTTACAGACAACCTGGCATAAATAATGGATAAGTACAGAGAGAAAGGTAGATGGCGCAAGTCAGACAGTAAATACAAAAAAGTAATCAAACAATATTTATTAAATTAGAGAGATAGGTAGGTTTATAATTAGTTAATAATAGTGATTTTGTTATTTGTCTAAGAGTAGAAAATAAAAAATTGCAGGTATTGCAGGCGTTCATAGTAACCGCTTAACATCAGGTGGGCCGTATGCTTGTTCACCACCTCATTGGTATAAAAATAAATTAAAGATTGTATCCCACAAAAAAAATACAATTTAAAAGAACTGTAGGTCTGTACATATCGCATTTTTGGTGCAGTAGTTTTTGAGAGATGTCGGAAGAAACATAGACAAACAAAAAAATCTTTAAATTTACTATTTTGGCTTCTGTTAATCTTATTAAGATCCCTAATATTGATTTTTCGTAAATATCTCCTATATAATTACAATTTTCATATATTAATAAGTTAATAGATAAATAGATACTCTTTGTTTTCTTAAAATAATTACATACAGTAGTTATAGATATAAATAATTACAAGAAATGTTTATACTGAGAAAACAATGGGCGGCCTATCGTTAAAAGCGATATCTTTCAGGCAAACTTTGAACAGAGAGGAGTGGTTATAAATATTTATTAGATATTTGAAAAATTAATTCAATGAAATTACAATATCTTGCTCTAGTTTCAAGAAAAATTATTTCTATAAGTATAATAAATATTAACTATAAGGATAAAACATTTTACATTCTGTTATAATAAGATATTGAGGGGAAATTGAAATGCCTTTTATTGGTCAATGAGAAACTTATTTCTTTGATAGTATGCGGATTTTCCTTAATAATTATATTAGCAATATCAATAATAATGCATCAATTTTGTTTTTATATCTGCACGTTAGCGATTATAGTAATAAAAAATATAAACCACAAACAATTTTCTAGGAATCGCAAAATCATGATCTCCTTTGTGGCTTTGGTGTTCTTTCGTCATGCTTGAAAAAAAAAATCCTTTAAATACTATTCCTATGTAAAAATAAACACATATACATGTAAATACATATATAATAATAAAAATAATATAAATAAATTATAACATGAAAATAAAGAGAATCTATTGAAATAAGAATTATTATTTCTGTACATGGTAAGATTTTTACTACTTTTACTTATGAATATGCAAGTGAGTTTTTTTGTTTCCTGCATATTGCTGCTTTAATTTCTTTTATGCAACTTAGAATAGCAAACACACTGACGGCCTACCTAATGGTAAGTGGTAACGGTCGCCTACAGACATGTACAGTGCTATAGACATACCAGAGTACACTGTGTCCTTTAAGATATCTTTTATGCGTTGCTATTCCTGAAGACTAAGGCGTTATGCCTTTGTCCCTGTAATTTTACTGCATTATCCCACCCTTCAAACGTAACTGCTTCATGATAGAAACACGAATAGGACAGAGTTAGTTAAGCAGATAACTTTATATATATATAAATTAAAAAAGTATATTTACAAATAATGCCCCAAACAGAAGTTTCGCTGGCTCGAGTCTGTTTGTCCACTTTCACCACGCTCTCTATCTCTTGTTCCAGTGATCTGTCTATGACGGGTACTCCTCGAAGCCACGCTAGAACCGCCTTTGCTTCCTGGAATTAAACATAGTAGATTTTTGTTTATTTTGGCATAAATTGTCAATAACGTTCTGTATCAACGTCTTCCTCGTTTACCTCTTATCTTCTATCATATCCTCCTACCCTTATACTGATACTTTAGAATTTAGGTTCTGAAATTTTTTCTTCTCGACGAGCAGTTTTACTTAGAAAAATACCAACTTCCAATTATTTATTATATTATTTAGTGATCTTAATTAAAACACTAGGTGTCATGTCGTATAGGGAGGTCAAGGATATGGTCTGGGATAGAGCTGGCTGGAAGAAGATGCATGAATTAGTTGCACCGACAAGAGGAAACTCTTAAATGAAAAGAGAATTAAAATAGAACTAATATGAAAGTAAATCGTACCGATTGCAAACGGAATTGAAAAAAATTGAATTAGTGACGTAACCGCGGAATATAAACATTAAAAAAAAATCAGACGAACAAAGAACCTCCTTTTTCTTTCTTTGGAGGTCGTTTAAAATCTATTTGAGCATAGCTTTATTTATTTAGCGAATATAAACAGATATCATTAGAAATGTATGAATGACCTCTATAATGATTATGTATATTTATTATTATTTATTTGACTACAAAAATAAGGTCATTAAACTTTTCACGTATTTGTACGCTGGAAGTCCTTGTCTTGGATATATTGGATATTTTTATATATTTTCTATAACGAAAGGTAATCTCAATAAACTTAGCGCATTTTAATGATCATTTAAATTAATCCATATACGTATTTCCGGTGAACAAAACAATCTAAACAAGTCTTTTCGTATGACTTCGTATGATCTTTTAAAAAGGAATATGCTTTTTTAAATATGACGATGCTTTAAGTAGTCTATGTTTATTATTATATATTCTTTTTTCATTTGTAAATTACAAATATAAGGCAATAGCGGGGGGGGGGGGGGGGGGGGGGTATAACGGTATAAACTGTCGGGGCACCAGTGAGAGATAATAGATGAGAATAAAAGAGCAAATCAGTTAGCCCATTGTTATAAATACACCTGAGATTTAGCACAATGGTTTCCAAGGGGGAGGTCGGTCTGGTGGGAATCATCAATGGGACTAGCAATCCGCGTTCCTTCCCCCCTGGCATATGTAGTCCAAAATACATAATATACTAATAAATCATCATCATCTTTCTACCCTTATCCCAAATATTATTTGGGGTCGGCGTAATATGGTTTTATCCATATTACTAAAGGATTTGATTTATAGTTTCATGACCGGCCGCCTGCCTGACGTCAACCCTCTTTGGGAATGTATTTGTTGGTGGTTTCCGCCACTTACGGTTTGGAAAAAAGGATTGAAGAAAAAACGAAGGGTACGTTGGAAATGCGTAAAGGAAATTAGTAAATGAAAGGACTCTCTGTACAAAAGCATATTATAAATTAAATGACTATTTAAATGACAAAACTGCATGGATTTGAATTTTGTATTAATGTGAATTGTATTGTAAATGTAATTATGGATTTTTTCTTAAATCAATATTATTTTCTATAGTAATTATTATAATTATAGACTGACGTATCATAAGTATCTGTAACAGATGTATATGAATAAAGATGATTGATTGATTGATTGATTGAATAAAGGACTTATGTAGGAAAGGAAAGAGGGGGACACTGCAGTGGCTCAGGAGGCCGGGGTTGCATACCCGTATTCTAGAATCGGACAGATTTCTAGAGAAGAACACCCCTGACGCAAATAAATATGGAACATATAAATATATACGCTTTGATTATGGAATTCATATAAGAACGAAATAGGAGGTTTCTGTTCAGATTTTCTCAAAAGACTACAACATGTAGTTCTTCACAAATAGGGTAAAGAGGTTTCTTCAGGGTTTGCCGACTGTGCATGATGCTATTAGTATTGCAGGCGTTCATAGACTTTGTTAACTTACTGCTTACCATCAGACGGGTTGTAAGCATGTCTGTCGCCTCAGTAATATAAAAAATCTAGATAAATTAGAGATTAATACTTAAATTACCGGTATCTAGTCTCGGCATAGAACGGGCCACTCCTTCCTTTCCGTGGGTGTCGTAAGAGGCGACTAAGAGAGCGTAAAGGTAGAGGGAGGGGCAGCAGCGTTCCTTTTAAATAATTATCAAAACTTAACTGCGGTTGCTAACCCGCCTGCCAATTCTGGCAATTGTTGACTTTATGTCCTGCATGTCCTGACCATGGCTTATACCAGTAGACAGTTAACGGCTGATATAATACCAAATAATATAATAAATACTCACATCAACCTTGCCCTGCTTGACTAGGAACTCTGGCGTTTCTGGCATCACCAGGAAAATGAAGAACAATACTGTCGGCACCATCAGGCCGATCCACAGCAATGCGTTTACTGACAGTAAATCAGCACACACGTAGCTAGCCAGGTAACCTATATTCCTGATAAAGATAAAAGGAGATGAATGAAAGAAGGATTACAAAAGAGCGAGCGCGAATGAATAGAGATATCAGTAGGGGCCGCCCTAGACAGACGTATGTTGACCAAATAGGCGGCGTGTTGAGGAAGGCCCAAATTAAAAGTACCCGTAACCGGCGAGCGTGTATGAAAAGACTGATAAATGCGGAGGAAGCGAAAGAGATCTGTTCGAATTTGGCGTTCTATTATTATTGCCTACCCTAATTGGAGACAGACATGACAGACATGGTATATATTCTGGATTTCAGAAGTAAACTGCTTTTAGATGGTAAATTAAGAAATAACCAAAGTAACCAACATAGTACGAAGGATAAGCAAGCTGAAGTGGCAACGGGCTGGTCACATAGCTCGAAGAGCCGACAACCGATGAGGAAGAAATGTTCCTAAGTGCCGACCCCGTATCCGCAAATGCAATGTAGAACAACCCCCCACTAAATGGATGCAGGTGGCTCAGGACCTTTCTTTATTGCAGTATATGGGAGATGCTTGTGCCCAGCAGTGAATGAATAATAATTGAAATGATGGTAAACTTTTGCTCGCGACTTTATCCGCGTGACAGAAACATGTTTTACGCACTTAGTAAAAAAACATACTGTATTCTTCTATATATCCCATATACTAGAAGTACATAAAATTTTGTAATGATTGGTTAAGCCGTTAAGACGCCAAGAGGTAACAAACAAACTTACATTCACGTTTATAATATTAAAAAGGATTTTTCAAATATTTCTGAAAATTTGACAGATAATTCCAACGTTGTCACACTTCAGTAGAAGCTTCGGAATATGCTCTTAACTAGATAGAGATAGATGCCTACATTGATTATAGAAAATTCTAGATCGCGTCGGTCACTGTACAGTCTTGACCAGATTACGTGTTTTGTTTAATGATACCTACCGCTAACTAGTTTTATTGTTGAAAATAATGTATATTGATTGCATAAATATCTAGATGGTTAACTTTTGTAAAGGATTTGTATAGTGCATTGAAATTAGATTTTTGATTAGGATCTCTTTTAGAGATAAGTTCGCCTTTGATTACATTGTTTATAATTGTTATTATTACTGTATGTTTTAGTGCAATAAAGAATAGCTTAGAATTTTTATTTATTTTATAAGGTAGTATGAAGTGGAAACGCCGTGTGGTTCCGGTATAGAATAGGCCACACCTCTTTCTTTCCCGTTAGTATTGTAAGAGGCGACTAAGTAAACTTAATAGTCAAGAGATATGCAGCTGCATCCTCCTTAAAACATTACCAAGGCCTAACTGTGGTTACCTACTCGCGTGCCAAGCTTGGCAACTACTGGCAAAATCCCGCAATAGGTGAAGCTTATGTTCGGCAGTAAACAATTAACGGATGAATGGTATGGTATGGTATGGTATAAAATGGGAAAAGCATAAATGGCATTGGGATAATTAAAATTATTTTCCAGGAGGGGAAAATAATTATTGATTATAGGGGGCCTTATATAAAATATACATATAAAGGAACACAAGTAAATTATATGATTTTAATACACGAGTAGGTTACTGTATATTGTTACTGTATACTGTACACACTAAATCACGCGAGCAAAGCCGCGGGAAATAGCTAGTGAATAAATAAAAATAAATTAATAGCTACCTTACCTATTCATTATAAGTAGAGAACCTAAAGCACCTCTCAAGTCAATGTCGCTGATTTCCTTCAAGTATATAGGAAGCACTATGTAGCAGGCAGAGCAAGGGATTCCAGCGACGGCACGAGCCAGGATCAACGCCCACGGCTCCAGGCAGAGCAGTTTTATTTGCCAATATATCTGATGAAAGAAAGACACAATATAATATATAATTACTTAGTCAAATAAAAAACATTCATGTAAAATTAATCTTTTACTACACACACATCGATGAAAGATATTTCAATTTTACCATAAAAATAATTTAAAACACTATCTATGGTAAACAGATTTTAACGAAACTCTGATTATTATCTATTTAGTCGAAACAGTAATGTTTGATTATAGTTTTATATGCCAAAATCAATAAAATTTTAATTTTTTATAACACAGTCTTTATTTTATTTAAACGTAAACAAATGTTAGACATGATTTTGTCTTAATATGTTTGAGTAACTGTCTATCGCAATTTTAACTTTTTTTGTGGAAAGTTGGTTTGAATTTAGAACGCCGTGTCGCTTGTTTACAGGTAAACTTGTGCAATAAGTAATTTTTGTTCCTCAAAGAAAATTTAATATAGGACAAGAGAATAAATTTTATTAATTATATATGATAGAATGAATAGATATATGAAAATCGCTTTTGAATTATTACTTACGACAAATCAATTCTTAATTTGTCTTCGTTTGTTATATCATAGTCGAATACGTAATATTACCACAAAAAATTAGACAAATACAGAATTTCTTTTGGTTGTGACAAGCATCGACAGCAAAAGTACGTAAATAGTACAATGTAAATAATAATAGTATATAAAATTAAAACTACTAACATGTTCGTACTTACTCTATTATTTGTAGGTTTGAGCTGTTTTATTAAAAAACGTTCTCATTTCATTAGCTTTTTCAACTACTAGCTACATTAGGTACGCGATCTATTGGCCAATTCTAAAACTTTGAATTGATTTTTTGACAAGTTTACTCCCGTATTGGTTTTATATTACTGATAAATTTGGGAAATGTATATACGAGTATAAATCGGGTTTTTTATAACCGTCACATCCAATTGTTCACCCAGTTGATAACAATAGACTAAGTATAAAGCGAATAAAAAAAAAATTGTACTATAAAAACTACAATAGTAGCACCCAATATCGATCGGAAGTAAGTCGTGACTATTTTTTGTCGCATTCCAAACAATAATACAAGATCTATAGGTATTATAGGAAGAAAAAGGAAGGAAATAAGGTTATTTATTTATTTATTTGGTGCATCTACAAATTACAAACAGAACTTTTACTAATATAACAATTACAAAATATAACAATAGCATTATGAGTTTGCAATCAAATTATTGTTCTATGCATTAATAACGATGAAACAGCATATATATATATATATATATATATATATATATATATATATATATATATATATATATATATATATATTGTAGTTTTTAATATTTAGATAAAGAACGTTAGTGAACGATAGAATTTTGGAAAGCAATTAAAAAGAGAAAAGAATGTGAGGGATCTATTTGTTTTTTTTTTTTGTATTTTCTGGTAATGAAATAAATTTAAGTATTTGCTTCGCAAAAAAGAAATTTTAATTGTAACAAAACAAATATAATACAAACACAGGAATAAACCCAAATTACAAACAGATTTTTTATACCACACAGGTTCTAAACGAACATACAGCCTTACGCGTAATGATTAAACCAAATTAAGTGTTAATTTTGTTTGTGTACATATTATATAATCTTTATAATCTGTATTATTCTTTGAAGGGAACAAAAAGTTTTCATTCATTCATTCATTCAATTCTTTTTAACAAATGACTTTGCTTTACTTCGGTAACTTAGAGCTGCTGTTAATATACGCCAATGCATACAGCCCGTCTGATGGTGATCCAGGGAGTGTTTGTATGCAACACTAGTATTATTACGAGTGCATGTTGCACCGCAAAAGGTGACAGTGACGTAACATACATACAAATGTTTACTGAGATGTTTCATAGACATATTACATTAATAAACACTTGTTGAAATTTAAATAGCGAAATCTTAATTTTAACCGGTTTGAAATAATTAAGATTGTGTTTCACAAAAAAGTGACTTCCATTGTGACAAAATTAGTTATTTTCATTTAAAAATTAAACTATAAAATTGATTTTAATAAAATTTCTATGGGATTAATTTGTAAATGTATCCTTTAAATTAAAAAAAGAATTTTCCAAATCGATTTACAACTGACGCAGTTATAACAAATATTAAAAAAAAAACAACCGAAGACGTGATTCTATGCTTTCCACTTTAAACTTGAATAGATATACACGACACCGACACGATGGAAAAGTGATTTGATTAAAATAGAATCACCAAAATCGGATAATAATAATTGACGTATATAACCTTTTAAAAATTATTTAAATACACTATATTTATATGTTCGCCGTGTGGTCCCGGCCATAGAATTTGCCACGTCTTCCCGTTCGTTTCCCGTGGGTGTCGTAGGAACTTAATAGTCAGGGGATGCCTAGCAGCGTGCCTTTTAAAAATTCACCAAAACCTAACTGCAGTTGCCAATCCACCTGCCAAGTGTGACAACTACTAGTAAAACCCATTTATACATGTATACAGAAAAAGGTGGAAGTCTATAAGTCCATTGTATTTTTTTTTCTTATGTTATATTTATATATAAATATACAACGTTGTTTTTTTTTAATGGATGATAATGGAATGGTAACCCCACCCGCGCTATTGGTATACACCGGGGGGCACCAGTGAAGGATGATAGGTGAGGATGAAGTAGGTCAGTTAGCCCGTCGTGACGAATTCAACAAGAATTGTTCCCGATGGTTTCCAGGGGGAACCATGTGTAGGTCGACCTAATAAGGGATATTGCTAGCAAAGGGGCTGTCAAACTCCATTGCTAACAATTCCTTTTCCCCCCTATACAACGTGTTGTACATACATATATACAATTCATCTTTATCATCTTTATTCCTTTGTTTATAAGCTAATTTTAGACATAACACGAATGCCATTAAAAATTACCAATAACAGTGTTTATCAAGTAGAAACGCAATAAATGCCTCTGTTTTTGATTAAAATGATAACAATCTGCATTCATTCAATAAACATTTATATCGAATAAATTTTCGTATTTCTCGTGACTATTTCTTTAAACAGATGAAAATGGAATTATAATCGGTAGATGGGGTAGCGATGTATTGATATATTATGTGGGGTATTGATGTATTTTTTTTTATTAATTATTAATAATTATTAATGATAATAATTAACCCTATCTGCTCCATCAGTATACGCTGGCGGGGCACCAGTGAGGGATGTTTTTTTATAGATGATAATGGAATGATAACCCCGTCAGCGCTATCGGTTTACGTTAAAGAGGCAGGTGAGGGATGATAGGTGAGATGAAAAGGCAGGTCAGTTAGACCATACCCTAGGAATTCAGCACGATTCTCTAATCATATAAAACGTAACCAATAAATCGAAAAATAAAAAAAAAAGTAATTCTTGATTCATAATACTTGTATTACTAGACATCAGTAGATTGTCATACGTGGGGTCAATTATTTGTTTGTTAACATTTTTAATTATATTTAATTATATTATAAGTGTAAAAGTGTAATTTTTTGTCCGTTTTTTGCTTTAACCGCTTAACCAATCACTATTAGCACTTCAGCTACTTGCTAACAACATGCTTTCTAACTGCTTTGGGTTGACTGAAAGAGATCTCTGTCAAAGATACGTCCACCCTCGCTCAAAATATTTATAAATGCATTAACAATGTAATTTACAAGTGCAATAAACAAATATATATTAAAATTATTTCACACGTAACTTTTAAGTGGAATGGAGAAGGACATAGACTATTTTTGATATTGTTCTGTTAACATATTCTGGTCACGAGAATGAAGTCGCGGATAAAAGCTAATCAATCTTCCTATTAATATAATAAATTTAAAAATTTGTGATGATAAAATAGATGGATATTTATTGTTCTTTAACGCAAAAAGTACAGATTTAAATGAAATTTGGTTCACGGGTAAGTTATATCCTAACTTAGCGCGTAGGATACTTTATGTACCTGATTAAAACGGGTAAATCCGTAGGATACAAACAGTATTATTATATCTATGGTAACCTATAAAACTGTATACAACTTACAATTAATGACAATATTGTGAGCAGTGTCATCATTTTCCTCCCGTATCTGTCAGTTAGGTATCCCATGGGGGCGCCAAAGACTATCGCGGTGATGTACGTCACTGACGTCATCCAGGATATGTCAGATGTGGTGTACGGCTCAGGAGATGGGGTGTCTGGGGACTGCAGTACAGCGATCATGGGCGACAGCCAGCCCTGAATCATGCCGAAGCTGACCAGCGGGATCGTTACTGAAAAGTAAAGAATTATTTATTTATTTATTTAACTGTTTATTGTATGTTATTTAGTATATTTTGTTTAGTATATGTTGTATATACAGACAACCTTTAGGATAATTAATGAAATCTATTAAAATTATAAATGTGAATGTTTGTGTATATGTGTGTAGTAGTTCTCTATTATATATATATATATATATATATATATATATATATATACATACAATAAGTCACAAATGCCGTGTAGTCTCGGCATAAAATAGGCCACCCCTTCCTTTCCGTGGGTATCGTAAGAGGCGACTAAAGGAGGATGAGGAATGGGCAGCAGCATCCCTTTTAAAACATCTCCAAAGCCTAACTGCTGTTGCCAATCCTGGCAAGTGTGGCAACTACTCGCAACCCCCCTCCCCCCAAGAGGGAAAGCTCATGTATAGCAGTGGACAGTTAAAGGCTGAATTGATGATGAACAAATCACAGAAGCATTCGGGTTTACCTGTATATAATAGCATTATAAAATTGAAAGTTGGTAAAGATGTTTGGATGTTTAAATATTCATTCTTTATTTGGGTGCCGAACGGTTAACACTAGGCTCCAAACAGAGTTTTATTAATTTGCCAAAAGATGTCTCGTTTAGAGGTAAAACATTTGACGCAAAACGTGCGTGGACCAAATGACAGTCGAAGATTGATCGCTATAATTGAGGATTGTAGAACTTCTGGTAATATCAATAGTAGTCAATCTTCTGTTGTTGGCAGTCGCACACATACCCATGGTAGTGAAATTAAATAAAATAATTCTAAACAAATAACCAGAGATATAGAATTTAGTTAGTTCAGTAAAGTGTCTATTTAGACACTTTATTCTATCTATCTGTCTATTTGTTTCTCAATAACGCTTAAAAGGCTAACAAAGATTTAATTAAAATTTGTACACTTTTAAATTTTAATTAAAGTTTGTAATTTAGCACATAGGATTTTTTATATACTGATTCACATGAGCTAAACTGCGGCAAACAGCTAGTTTTTTTTTAATGTGTAAAGATGGAATGGTAATCCTACCTGCGCTATCGGTATTCGGTGGTGGGGTACCAGTAAAGGGTGACAGGTGAGGATGAAGACGGGTCAATTGGTCCTTAATGACCATTTAAACACTTTAGGTTCCAGGGGGAATCGCGTGGAGGTCGACCCAATAGGGTGTATTGCTAGCAATGGGGCTGTTAAATCTGATTACTAACAATCCCTTTCCTCCCGCAAACAGTTAGTGGATATAAATGTTGCTTCAACCAAATAAGCGTAATAGAATCTTCTGATTAAACTCATCGTGCACCGGTGTGATCTTGAACTCATACTATTTACATGTTGATATATCCAGTTTTGTACTAAAAGCTGTGTCATATGAATTTAATGATACTGGTTTTATAATCCATAGAAAACAATACAATGTTTTGATATTTAAATATATTTTGTATTTACAATGATGTTGTGCATTTTAAAGCTGTTATTACGAGATCAGATTAGCAATGCTATTTGTCCAATCGACTTCGATATTTTTGCTTTGAAGTCACGTAATAAAGACAAATTATAAAATTCTTGATTCGAAAAACATCGTTTTGCGTACTACCGCTACTTATTGGGTTCATTTTACTTATCGAAATATATCTTATTTTTCAAATTGGAGTAATCAATATACATATAAAAAAAAATATTGAAATTGGTTGACAGTTGCAAAGATTAGTGTGAGAGAACATCGTGACACGGGACTTTTATATATTAAGATTGGAAGGACTATAATAAATGAAAATATATATAGATATGACTTTGTTTGCTACTCCTTGGTGCTGTAATCAATTGTTACAAAATTTGGCATAACATTTGGAATGAAGTGGACCGGAATCGCGGACATAGTGGCGAGTAAAAACTAGTAATTCATGTATGTATATCATTTGTGCATATTAAAAATTTGGTAGCAGAGCATTATTATTTTTATAGCTTTTAAATGTTTTCTATCTCAACATTTTTATTGCACGTTTTTGTGGTAGTTCTAACATAGTTATAATATCAGAAAATTAGCTCAGTGTAAAAACATTGAATCAATAACATTATCTATCAATAACCATAATAATTTACCTATTGATTTATTGGTAAAATCATTTACTAAATGGGGTAGGTACATATGTTACCTACCATATTCACTAAGTGATTTAGACTCTCTTATCTGTGTCTAAAAGCAGCTCATGAAACTAAATGATTTTATTAATAAAGATGTTTCAGTACCTAAGATCAGGTTTTAGTCGCAAAGGCTGCATGTAATTGGCTAATTCATTTTTGCTGCATTTGAAATTGTCAGAACAAGGCGTATATAAAAGGAAACGTTTGAAAAATCGTATGTAAAGGTGTAAATTTTAGATTAGGGGAAGTTTGATCTCATTTTCTTTAATATATATCTTTAGTATATCCATGCGAAGCCCGTGTGGGTAGCAAGTACCATACAATACTCAGGTATTTCAGATAATGCAACACGGATGCAAAAGGTCTAAAACTATCCAAGAATAGATAATAGTACCTACTAGTATAGAAGATTCACTGACCTCAGTGAGGACATAATTATATGGAAATAACGTAGGTTCTTTAACAATCATTCAGTGTAAACTATTTTGTACTCTAAGGGACATGTGCAATAGTTCAAATTGCAATGGTATTTTCTAATTCGAGTACAGGGCGATGCGTAATGTAAGTATATTACATAAACAAGTTAAATGCATAATAACTGTATACATTTGTTTATTGCAATAAATTAATTTAATTTAAATAACGGAAAAGGAAGGGGTGGCCTATTCTATGCCGGGACCATACGGCAAAGTATTTAAAAGGTTGTTTAGTCTGTCTAAGTGATTAAACATTATTGAAATGTCGATTTATAAATTTATGCACCAAAGTCTATAAACTATTGTAATAAAATTCATTATCGTACTATAAATATCTTTTATTTTTAAAACAGCAATTTTTCTTTTGTTTACACATAAACAAATGTTACACACGGTTTTGTAGTAAATACGTCTAAACACGTAATGAACATCTGTCTATCACAAGTTTAATTTTTTTGTAAATATAAGGCAGTATTATTTTATCTGCTCAATTTTAATTTATCACATCTAAGGGAAAGGAACTACTAGTAATATGATGTAACAACCCCACTGATAGCAATATACTCAGTCAGGTCGACCTTTAAGCGGTTTTTCCTGGAAATTATCGTGATTATTTGGGGTTGATGAGGATGAAGTCAAGTCTTGACTTGACTTCATCCTTATCAACCCCTCACTAGTACCCCATCGGTATGAGTACATACCGATAGCGCAGGCGAGTTTTATTTTCATACATACATGCCACGCGTGTCTCCCATTGGTGTAAGCAGAAACAATGGAACACCAAATGGCTCAAACAGACTTCTTTCACTTTCTCCACATTCATTAATCTTATCATACACGCTTTCATTATCATTCTGTTGAAAAATATCTTTTAAATAACGATAATTGGTGACCGTAATGATGATGATGAAGTTTATTGGAATGTATTGGAACCGTCCATCGAATCCGGTACCTCATTTATGTCAGTGGTCGTCAAATTTTTAATGAAATAAGAATTCAATTTGATTACTTTATTTTTAGATAATAATCGTCAAATGTACACAGGTGGCGCGACGGCACGGTGCAACAAAGAAACACGATGAATAATTATATTTATTATAATTATCTTCATTATATAATCGTGTTCGGTCCACGATCGACCTTCTCGCAGACCACGACGGAATTAATCATCAAAGTATGAACCTTATTGATTGCAAACTTGATAATCCGCAAATTATTTCGATCGTTCATACCGGTTACCGGTGTTTTCCAACATGGAACCCACGTCCCGCAGGGGAGCAATTTGATAGTTAAGGAGTGAGCAATTAAAAAATGGACTCGAAGCAATTTTAACCCTATTGATCCGAGCCATTTAAATGCTACGAGTGCTATTAGTGCCAAATTTAACAAAAAAAAGTGAATTTAAAAAAATGCTGTAAATATTTATTAGGTATAATTTTGTTTGACGTTACCAAAATATCAGTTGGGCGATTAGAGTCGTCAAGTAAACTTTGTCGGGAAAAATTATGTATGGGGCATAAAAATTTTAAAAATGTTCAAGTGGGGCATGGTATAAAAAAGGTTAAGAAACACTGGATTAAAGTATTAACCGCTTCTTCTCTACTTGCTTCCTTTTGAAAAATTACCTTACCTGCAAGACTTTGTTTAATTTACTATTTAAATTTTTATCGTTTACACTCTCGAGTGGCAACTCCGTGCATAGCATAATGTAACCGCTTACCATTGGGGGTAAGGTATTATAAGTAATGGAGATTGAGAATCCCATTGCTAGCTATATACCCAACCAGGTCGACCTCCTCGCAGTTCCCCCTGGAAACTATCATGATTAATTCCTGATGAATTCATCATGATGGACTAACTGGCCTGTTTTCATTCTCATCTATCACCCTTCACTGGTGCTCCGCCAGCGTATCATACTATTTTCACCCATAAAAAAACTGCTTACCATCAGCTGTGCCGTATGCTTGTTCGCCACCTCAGTAGTATAAAAAATAGTTTTTTCTGTCTCAAGTACGTTAGCAATATTTTAGGTACTTAGACAGGCTCATATTGTAAAGAAAAGACTCAACCGGGAAATACCCTCTGAATATTCTCATATAAATATTTATATGTCCCATAGTTTGACGTCACTGTATAATAAAAAAGTTGAAATTACAATTTTATATCCTAATAATGTTATTAGTCATACATATCCTTGATAAGAAGTCAAGGATACCCAGATTATTGTGGCCAGTCTCTCAGAGGCATGTTTTTGCATACGCGAAAATGCTTATATATATATAGATACTCATATGAATGGTATATAAAATAGATCTTAAGCTTCTTGAGTTTTTATCATATCGTTTTTGTATAAATACCTACAGATACA